CAAAGAGAAACTAAAAAATGGGGTGAATTTTGTAAATTTAACATACTAAGCGCTATGTCCTATACCTGGCTAACCAACTATTCACCCCGATTTTACTGTATTTCAAAAAGAAACTAAAAAATGGGGTGGATTTTGTGAATTTAACATACTAAGCGCTATGTCCTATACCTGGCTAACCAACTATTCACCCCGATTTTACTGTATTTCAAAAAGAAACTAAAAAATGGGGTGAATTTTGTGAATTTAACACACTAAGCGCTATATCGTATACCCGGCATATCAACTCTTCGCCCCGATTTTACTCTATTTCAAAAAGAGGCTGAAAAATGGGGTAGACACAAAAACAGACTGAAAAATGGGGTGAATTTAGTGAATTCAAGGGCTTTCCAGCACTGTCTGCAATTTTCAAGGACTTTTAAGGCCGTGAATTTTTATTTTGACATTCAAGGATTTTCAAGGACTTTCAAGGTGAGTGCGAACCCTGTCACTATTGTATAGAGACGCATGGGGGCGTGGTGGACAAATTGTCACGGTATGCGCTGGACCAAAAAAATAATACCTTATGCCGGGTTAGTATGCACTGGGCCCCAAAAATAGCTCTTGTAAGGGCACTGCGTTATGTTCTTGGGCAAGACACTTAACCTTTACTATGCCTCTCTTCAGTCGGGTGATGATACATGGGAACCGGTGTATTAACTGCTGGGGAGGGGGGGTGACCCTGAAATGGACTAGCATCCAGGGAGAGTCGAAAACACTGGTCGTACTGTTAAGTATCTTCTGAAGACGTAGCATTGGAACATACATTGTCTTATGTACATCATACGCTAAAACGCATCAATAAGTTCATTTTAATATATCTCGGCTATCCTATTTATTGATATGTACAGTGATTTATTAGAGTGTGTAGTAGCAAGTGACAGTGGAGGATCCTTCGTTCCTATCCTAATCATGATTTTGTATTTAAAATAGAATATAAGTCAGCAAGATGTAACAGATTAGTATCGACTAAGAGAACACAGAATCATGAGAAAAGGAAACGATAAACAGACTTATGAATTACAACTTTGGTTATCTCATTCCATGCAAACTGCATTTTTCTTTACAATAGGGAATTTACGCAACCACAACAGCGTTGGCAACGAGAACATCGCTTAAGAGAAGGGAGGAAGAACACTGCAGGGCAAAGACCTGCACATGTGTTTTGCAATCTGCTAAACTGTACAAAGAAACAACACGAATAACCTCAAATAAAGCTTTATGTCTTTGTCAGCACCATTCTATGAATGTAAATAGTTTCAAGAGTCTCAATGAAATTTCCAGAAGGAAAGGTTAGCCTCCCACATTGCATTTTCGTTGTCATCCTCTGTGTGGTTGCTTAACTTTACAGTGAACCGTTACATACACCTTATTGGATGGTTTAACATATAATACGCGCGGGTATTTTGCGAGTTGCGTAGCAAAACGAGCTAAATGTCCGGACGTATTACATGTTAAACCATCCAATAAGGGATTTATTATTTCATTATTGCGCCATTTTCTAGCATTTTGGCACCTAGTTTTTTGAAATACAACCTCCATCGCCTGAGAATCTTATCGATCTTATGAAGCGTGCGCGAATGACGAAAACAACACAAACAAAAAGAATTAAATGTCCTCGCAAGTTTCCTTCTGTTGAGTTAAAAAAATGCGTTCCCGTCGAAAGGTCGTCGCTTAAAAGTCAAGCGTAAAGGACGTAAACAAGTCAATTTTGCTCCCTTTTGTCCAACCATTTTGTTGCTCTACGCTTTCCGTCCGTATTTGCTCTGTTCTAAAACAGTCAAACCGGGGCATTACAGGCTCATGATTTGCGCGTTCTCATGTCCAAATATGGTAAAATGGCGCAATAGTGGAATCATAATGTTTTCACTTTCTACTTCGTAGCTGTCTATCCCTGGACATTATTGTCCCGGGAGAGACAAACTTGTCGGGATGAAGGGCATCCTTTAAACCCTGCGTCTCCGAAAGGTTTTGTTTCGGCCGGGCAGTTTGCAGAGCTTCTCGTCGCGGTTGGATGTAAGCAGTCGGCCAGGCGACAAAACTCCCTTCTTCTACTTCCCCAGAATGGGTGGGATATTCTTGCCATGGCTCCACTTTTCCCTTTGACAAGATATCCTGTATCATCACTGCGGCCCATCCGGTTTTCAGTGCCCGGCCGTGTACCATGGCTTGAGCAGTTACAACACCCCGACAAACGAGTTTGTTGGAGTTGTCAAACAGCTCAACTTCATTACCTAAACCAGACAAAGAAGTATAAATTGAATTGACTGAATTGCTCAAATAAAATGCTAAGTATAGTGACTAAAAGACAGCAGTTTCCTATTGGTGTCACTATGATTGTCCAGTCAGATTAAAAGCCGGAAAAATCAAGTTCAAAAATATAAATATATAATTAAAAACAAACACACAGGAACACACGAGCAGTGATAAGTACGGCGTTTTTTAAAATCAAATCGTTATTGTGTTGTAGTTCTGTCTATCACCGATGAACTATATTTTGTGTGTGAGTGTGTGTGTGTGTGGGTGTGTGAGAGTTTTAGCCATACACATGAATAAAATACACCTTCACTGGCACCAGTGGAAGTGTCAGGCTGCGTCTGAGGTGCTGAGAACTAAAAATGCACCACAACATAACATTTAATCTCTATATTGAAAACTACTTTAATTAATCTGAATTTAGTTCTTTGAAAATGGCAGCAGAGGTTTTCAAAGTTTTACCTTGGGACAAGCAGGACAAACTGGACGCCTGAGTGGGCAAACCTCATTTTCAGTAAAACACTGGAGAGCCTTTACATGATACCTGTTGTAAAGAGACATACCTTTAATGTGCACAGTGTTTACACTAATAAGCATTTTAAACTAATAAAAGCATCTATCGAGTTCAAATTACCAAACCATATGGTATTTTTTGAACCAGCATTAATGACAATAGATAATTATTTGTTGCACTATCGTGGCCTAAGAATTAAATCAGATATTTGAGTAATTTCTTCTTTCACTTGTAGTCTTATATTTTCTGGAAAATACTTTTAATTATATGTAAAACTCAATCAAAAGGGATATTGGTTGTTTTATTCCTTTTCACAAAACAAAGTAACAAGAATTATCTTTGTATTAAATAATAATTTTTAACATAACCACTTAAATAAAAACTCTGCAAATCAGTTTGAGTCTGGAAGTTTAGAACTTGCAGAAGGAATTGGATTCTAAAAAAAAAAATTGAAGAACACCGGGTGTCACCAAATGCACTGAATACAGGAGCTCACCTCAAGAGACTTTGCATGGTTTTACAACCTAAACTGTGTTGATCACAAGGTATTTCTAACTTTTAACTTGACCAAATTTCTATGGTCTTCATTACCATCTACCGAGGTATCAGTTGATGCTTTGTGTCAAATTTATAACACTTCATTCAGTTCTCTTTGTTTTAAACTGGTTATCTGCATATATCATCATAAATTACCATACATAGAAACAAAGGATAATAAAATTTAAACTAAGGATAAAGTTGATCCAAAACATTTAACTAAAATCTAAGTTACTCATTAAAACACTTCTAAAGGTCTTATACACATAAAACTGGGATGTTGCAAGATAACTGTTTGCTGGAAGTTCTAAATTCACAAACATTAATTGTTAAGCCACCTGAATTCCTCAAAGCTGTCAATAAATTGGTCACATATCTTCCTTTTCTGCAATTAAAACAATAAATAACAAATATAACAATTTGCTACATCTGTTCTATTGTAAATCTATCACGAATGCTATTCTCTGATTGGCTGCCCTACCCACTATCTATTCTGTGATAGATAGTGAGTAGTAATCAGTTTGAGTCTGGAAGTTTAGAACTTGCAGAAGGAACTGGATTCTATTCTGCAGTATACAGTACTGTACACTCACCATTATCATAACATTGTGTAGTTTGCAATATTTCATTTGGTGGTATTTTTTGTCCTCCAAATATTTGTTAGCTGGGAAAGTTCTCATAAGCGGACATCTAGGCTACACCTCTGGTGGTGGCCGCTTATGAGAACAGTTCTTGTAAGGTGGCCAGCTCCAGTTACAGACACTTTTAACGTGTCCCGAGGGTGTACATGTATGAGAGCTTCAACTGTATTTTCATTTGTTTAGTTTCAGTATCTATGAAGGAGATCGTGATAAAGTTTTGGCTAGGTCATGAAGATTTATACTAAAGCAATAATATATTATGATCTCATGATTTCTATATTATTTGTGTGATGGTTTATTTGGTTTTGCCCTCAATAATTCAGGGTCGGCCAGCGGGGGATAGTGGTATACCAGTATACCGAAAAAGATCATAAAATACCCCAAAACACCCAAGATTTCTCCCAATATACCTAAAATTAATCAAAGCGTTATATAGTCTACTATATACCCGAAATTAGTAGTATACCCATCTTTCAGCTGAAATATACCGTATACCCGAATTAAAAAGCCCCTTAATACCATATACCCAAAAATCCTGGCCGACCCTGATAACTATCACACGATGGAGTCGTTTACAGCTAAACCTATAACGAACCTTTATGAGAGGGTGGGAGTAGAAGTCTAAGGCCTTCACAAGATCAAAAATGGAAACTTGGCATTCCACCACAAGTGCCAGGGTAAATTCCATCAGACTTGTGGTGAATGCCAAGGTTGGTTCCACTGGCGTAGCAGGCCACAAACCTTGAAACAGAAAAACTCTCTGCCACACTAAAACAAGTGCAACAGAGAATCTTCAATAGATGCTGACCACCTTCAGAAAAAAATATTCAACAAGGAAGAACATTGCTGACTTTATACCGATATTTTAATAACCTTAGAATTAAGCTCACCAAAACAATATAAATGTTTACAATATATTAAATAACTGCAAAAAGTGAATACCAGGACTACATTAACATGAACAACAATCATGGTTTGGTCTTTAGGGATAGCTTTACCTCTTTCATCTATAACCGTTATTTCCTTGTGTAGGAAAATGAGCAAGAATGATAGGGATTACTCAATGTCCTGTCAGGAACAGTGTGCAATTTCCAAACACCGTCCTGAAAAATTCAGTATAAAAAAAAAGACAAGCTTAATAAATTTCTTAAACCCGGGTTACTCTTCTGGGCAAAAAACAAAATTGATAATTATAAAGGTCATGCATACCTGTATTATTTCTGGGTGATGAAAATGATGTTTGGTCTGATGCAGGTGATTACAGCAATCAAGGCAGAAGTATGCCGTAAAGCTACAATCCCTGCATCGACTTTCCACCGTTTTACCACAATTACATTGATGGGGCACGAAACCTTCCATTTCAACAGAGAACTTCAGCAATGTGGATCGCAAGGATTCCCAGTTTTTGTGGAGCCTTTCCTTGCGCATTTTGTAGGAGCTGGTGGAGGAAGTGGGCACCACATCATCGTCGGAATCTGGCGGGTCACCATCACACAAAGCGCACAGATCTTCCTCTTCTTCACCTTGTTCCACATCTTCCACACTACGATGTTGCTCTTTTTCCAGAGGCAGAGTAGAAGGAAGTTGGACGGTGGATTTCCGGGTTTTATTTGATCTGTCTACCACTTTAAAGGAGGAAAATCCTTTCCTCTTACCCGGCCCAAAAAACATTCCCATCAAAATCCAATATGGCGTCTCTTATGGGCAATTTAGTTACTCATTCACCCCTCCCCCAGGTCTAGATTTGTCAATAGGTCTATCCCGATTACAATGCATTAATTGACTGGTTACAACGTCATTACAAGTCCAGTAGTTACTGGGTTACAACGTGAGGAACGGGTGCCGCAGTTTACAATGTGACTTCCGCTTTTTCTTGTTGACGCGTACTCACAGTGTACTCGAGTGTAAGGAAGTTCGCGTAGTGCGTCTGAGCCAGTTTCTGCCAGATTTGAACAGAAAAACAGGTCCTCTTTGAAAATCCTACACACCATCGACCTAAGCCTCGTAGCTGCCAAGTGAGCAGAAGAACAATGACATCAAAATACTCGAGAAAGATAAGTATTAATTTTAATTGCATTTGTGTTAAACTTATATGTACAGAAATTTCTGAAGTGGTACTTAATCAGAAGTTTATCTCATGATAAGCCTTCAAACTTGTATTAAATAAATTGATGTACATATTTCACAATTTTAAGATGATTGTGTGATGACAATACACCGACAGTCAACATTCGAATATTCAGCTTGAGCTTCCTCCTAAATGTTAAGTATTTCAATTTGAACTTGTAGAATATAACCTATGGATTAAATGTGGGTCTATAAGTATCATCCATGAAATTCTTACTGGCAATTTTCATCATGATATTAAAGCACCCCAAACTCAAGAACAAGGAAAAATAAGTTACGCAGAAAACTGAGTTAGGCAGAAAACTGACGGAGAAATTCATAAAATATTCACTCTGTTTCCATTACAGGTAAATTTGTTTCAATTCTGCACAACGAAATGTCCAGGTTGTCTTATCATATGTCCACTTCACCTACATGTAACACAAGGCCCATTAGGATTAAGCACCCTTTATTAGGCTAGTGATCGTTCATGTTAATGGTAGTGCCCCCTGAACCCTTATTCAATAATTAAAATAAACTGACCTTATTTTCAGGATACTTGATTATTTTCCTTAGGTGGATCTTTGCTGGACAGTCACTGCTTTAAAATTGGCACAGCCAAACCCCTGGCTTGAAAACTATAAATTTCTTCAATGCCCATTACCTCAGAATATGCAATGTCAAAGTCCCCTTTTGACTAAGTCTCATTTCTCTAAAATCTGATAGATGTAAATCATCTAAAAATGAGATCAACAAACCTCTCCACATTAGTTTAATCTGACCTTATTTAGTCCTGTTCCCAGGAAAAAAGACTTTGGGAAATATTTTGTTTTTTTATCCTCGCTGTTAAATATCAGCCTTTCTGTTTCTTTGTTGTTTGGCATGTAATAAGAGTTATTTCAGAACACTTAATTGTCACAGAACTCTTGGAATTTAATAGGTTGGAGAATAAGGGTGGAAAGAGTATGTATGAGTTTGTTGTGCAGTTGAAATGATAAATGAATATAATTTTTATTGGGGAAAAATTGATTTATTCAACTATTCATATTACAACTGGAAGCCCAAACTAGTACTTGCTTTAATTCTCAATTTTTCCATGTCGTTTATCATATCTGATGTTATTTTCAAGACTAATGATTGAAAAGACTTTTCCTTACTCTGTTAAAATCCACAATTATTCATCCATTTCTAACAAACTCTTTGATCTAAGGCAACCATATCTTCAGTACTAATGTTGTCTTACTTTTCTTTACTTGACATTGACCTTTTTGTTTTGGTAACTGACCCCGCTGGTTGTGATTCATGTCAAAAAAAATCTTGTGAAACAAAACAAACTTTTGTAAACTTTAACTTTTCGTTTAAATTGAAATACATTGCAATAGCAGCACAGTTGGTGCTCTAAAAAATGCTCACAGGAAAGTGAGTACTTCAAATGATCAATGATAACTTGAGATAGCAATGACACGATAAAAGTATACCATCCAATTTATTGGTGCTCTTGGAGAGGCCTCTTGCATCCTTCACAACTAACATCTACATCCAGAACGCCCAAAAAATTACAAGACAAGACTTGAAGTTGTTTGTACAATCTTTTGCTTTTGAAAATAACCTCCTTCCACACACCATGCAACAACTTTTAATGTTTAAATTTTTGCCGCATCCATCTAAGTTACAGGAGGAAAAATGACAAGAAAAGTTGTCTCAAATACTCGATCCATTGTTGTTTTCTGACATTTTCCTGCTTCTTTTCTTTCGTGATTCTTGAGCAGAAAACTAATGCAGGCACATACCAGCAGTTTCTCACATCAAACTAAAACTTACAGAACATGCACAACAAAATGCCCCTCTGCTTGGAAAGCTGGAAATTGTCGGCTATTCCAATATGGTGGACTATTCTGGTAACTCTATTTACGATTTACCTATAGTCAAGTGATGTGATTGAACCAGACATGAACATTATAACATGCTTTACATGTGAAGAATACATTGTTGAGTCTAAATCAAGGAAATTTTGCTAAATTTTGTATGGCTGCTTCCTTCACCCTCGATGATCTTAAGTTTCTTGTTCAGCAGAGTTTTAGCTTAACACTGTAGCTGCTAAGACCTGTGCTTGCAAAGGTAAACAAAACTTATGAATGGTATCACCACTATAATGCTCTTGTCATAGTGCTACGGGTTAGAAAGATCCCCAAGATGAAATTTCTATTGTCTTGTACCTCTAGCCAGTAGGATCTCAGGAGGCTTTAAAAAATACTATTGGCTAGAGGTATAGCTTGCTTATTTAGTCAACTTTGCCAAATTGTTACTACGCCTTTGTACGGTTTGATTCACATTTAACTTTTTCTACACTCCAAATTAGCCTTACACTCCTTTGAGTCACTTTTTTCATGAATGTGTTTCCATTTATTTTTTATTTGGTCTTTTACCCCAAGCTGGTAGGATCTTATGAGGCTTAGATAATACTATTGGCTAGAGATACAGCTTGCGTATTTAGTCAACTTTGCCCAATTTTTATCACCATTTGCTCCACAATTTCCTTTCCTATACTCCAAATTGTAGTCTTACACTCCTTGGAATCATTTTATTTTAAGAATTCATTTCATTTTTTTTATTTGATCTTGAAACTCTAGCTGGTAAGATCTTTGGAGGCTTAGGAAATACTACTGACCAGAGGTACTGCTTACATACTAGTTAACTTTGCCCAATTTTTAATACGGCTAGCTTCACATTTCACTTTTCTGTACTTCAAATTTGTCTCACACTCCTTGAAATCACTTTTTTCAAGAATAGGTTTTCATTTATAGGTGTTTTACTGGGGCAGGATCTAACTTCATAATTGCAAGGGTCAAAATTTATTTCCTTTCATCGTGTTTGTAATGAAAACAGGAAGGAGTGTTACTTACTTTGTAAAATTAATTGGCTGTCTGATTAGTAAATGACAGAGATCAATGAAATTGACATGTTTCAGGTATTTTTGTTTGCTTAATTTTTGTTTTCTTAATTTAGTGGGATGAAATTATAGAGGATTGTACTGTTTGGGACTGTAAATGTGGCCATAGGTGGCCACATTAACATGTGTTTTTTATACAAAAATCTATGGCCATTTTCTCAGCCATAAAATAGTGGCCATAACAACAAGGTGATGGTATTACCAAGGTGGCCATACGGCAGGGTTCCCCTGAATTTATAGTAAATATAATTTTTATACATTGGAATGTTATGAGCTTCAGTGTTTCATCTATGTTCTTCATTTTCAGTCTAAAATCTGGGTGAAGCCTGCAGGAGAGCAGTCTTTTCTCCATGGGAATCGCATTTTGAAGTCTGGCTTTGGGAGGATAACAGAAAACACACCACAGTACCAAGGAGTTATTGTATACTCTATGAATGACCTTCCACTGGTGAGGGAAAAAAAACTGTCATCTTTAAGGGAGATTTTGTTTACATGTATCAAAATGGGATGGAATTTCTCCAAATATGTGAAAATATAGCCCAGTTAACCCTTTAAAGAGTGACAAGGTTCTAATTCCTCTTTACAATTTATTCCTTGAATCAATTCACAAGAATAAAGGAAATGATCAGCAACTAACACAGCTCTTGATGGTTTTACAAATTCTCTTTGTTAGAACCTAGAAAATATATAGAGAACAGTATGGAGAGTATGCATAATGATGTTAGGGTGTAAAGGGTTAGTGACTTGTGATGTAAGGATAACAAATATGGAAATCCTTACCCATGATATTTTGTGATTAGATGGTCTTCCCTTGAAGCCCATGTGGCGGGGGAAGGGAATTATGAAATTCATAAAGAAATGAGGCCAGTGATTGTTGGAATTTATAATCAAAACCTTTAAATTCAGTTGTATGGGTGTGGCTTCTAATTTCACCCACCAAAGGTGCATCAAACATGATAGGGCATTTATGTGGTAGAGCATTTTTGTGGAACAATTTCTCCATAAAAGGTCTGAAAGCTAACAGTGCTATTCTTTACCTTGTACAAAGACCCTAAGGAGTACCACAATGCAAAAATTTGAAGTTTCCATCATTTTTGTCCAGGGATACAAGTGTGCTGGACCATCTACAAGGCTCATATGGTGTGGCACTTGTCTTAAACGTAGGATTAGCAATAGAGAACGCATTCAGTGTGGCAAAAACGATTTAATAAAAACTTCAAATACACCAAAAAATTCGTTTATTGAGCACTTCCCTCTCAAAAAATGGGGAAATCTCTTGAAATAGCTGCACTTCCTAATTTTTTATTTTATTTTAGGTTTTTGGTGCCACGTCTCGTTCAACACAAGATTGTCGCCAAGCAAATCGTACAGATATCATGTGTTTCCATCAAGCTGATTTTGGGGAATACTTGAGATCTGAGGACACTTTGACATAACAAAATATTGAGAACAATAAAAGATCAGTTTTTAGACATTTTTATCTTTTAATTTGAAATTGTAATAACATTGATCTGTAGCTAAAAATGAAGCCTTTACACCCTAACATCACTAAAGGTCTTTTCCATACTGTTCCCTATACATTTTTTAAGATACCAACAAGAAAAATTTGTGTAACAATCAACAGCTTTTCCTGCTGATAATTTTCTTTATTCTCAAGACCTTACTGCATGATTCAGGGGTGATCTTGTAAGGAGAAATTAGATGCTAGTCACTCTAAAGGGTTAAAGGGTTGAGTTTAGAAATAACCTATTGCAGTCAGAGCAATAATCAGGACGAACGTATTTTTTCAATATTTATTTTGTAGGATACTACTACTATCTTAAAATAATGTAATATTGTTTGTTCATGAACAAAACAAACAACTTGAAAAAAATTTAAATCAAGCCCTCTGTAGAAACTAATCCCCCGCCTAGCCCCAATCCATGCTGGTATCTATGTGAGTTTGACCTTCGCGTCTGGAGAACGTTATAGCAAACCTATTTGTTACAAAAGAAACTGTTCTCCAGCCTCTTTGGGCAGGTTAGTAGGTATATCCCATCCACACCATAAAAACGTGTCGTTAAACTGGATTTAAGTGAAAGAAACGGACCTAAAGAACTGAGAATGTTTCCATACATTTCAAGTAGCGTATTAAAAAGACCCATAATAATTAGTTTAAAATAATTTCGCTTTTATGACTTCTTTTTGGTTTCCAACCACGTTAAGTTATATTTCTAACGTAGCATCTTGATTGTTTTTAGCACTCAGTAGTAGAGAATTCTAACTTGTATTCACCATCTTGGCTTGGATCCTCTGCTTCGTGAGTCTGAAAAGTTACTGCTGGAGCTGACCTTCCACAGGGCAGCGGCACACTGGGCAAATAAGACTAAAAGCAAAAGAAAAAGAAACTGTAAGATACAGAGCTCTCAAAGTACACTCCTCTAAAGGCGGGAAGAAAAGGAGTGATTATGTCGCATATAGGGTTAGTTTTGTATCTGATTGGTCGAGATGTAGTTTTCTGGACCAATCACAGAGCGAAGTGATAGAAAGCCAACGTAATCCCGGTTACTTGTGACACTCGTTTAGAATTACTCATAACCAGTAAGAATTCAAAGTCAGGAAAGTGCGCGAAAACGTGAATGACCAAGCCGAAATTTCTTTTAGTTTTGTACTTGATTTGTTGAGAAGCTGGCTCGAGTTTCCTGCCAAACCAAAGTTATCCTGGATTTCTTTCGACATTGACGAACAAACTGCCGTTTGATACTGTACCTCATTGCGTAACACAGCACTACTTGTTACACCCACAGAATATCCGGGTTTTATGTTTACATCACTACAGCATAATGGCGTGTTCATTGCATCAAGTAAGAGAAGTCTTGATACATCAACTGACAACTGCGGAAACGGTTTCATGATGACAGCACCACCACCATTACTTAAGTTATACTCTCGTTTATTAATATCCTTTAAAACGTTATGAACAGTTGCTTTGGACTATCTAAACATACTTACACGCGATTCTGTATCTCTGCATAAAACATCATTCTAGAGCCACACTCTTTATGAACCTTATGTGAGCATGGCATGATTTGGCCACCGGTGAACACCTCCTGAAATAGCATGCAGAATTTAACGTGTCAGTAACACTCGTACCCAGACATTTTCATTATTAAGAGCTGTCTCCTAGGGCTTCAGATGTCTTTTAAGATCTTTGCTACAAAGCATAAATTCCCACCTGTGTTTGGAGCAATTTAAAAGTGTGGAACATGATCTATATATAATTACCTCAAAGCAGATGCAACAATTGTCAAGTCCTGAGTTCAGCCGACATTTGTGTTTTCCCTCCATTTGCTTCCCCATGCAAACATTGCACACGTCGCAGTGAAAGGATGTGTCCTTGTTTAAGCTGAAACAACAGTTTGATTAAATGAAATGATAGGGCCATCACGTCACTAACGTTATTCTAAGCCGGCGGATGTTTCTCCCAAAGCAAAAACCATTCTATCGTTTTCTTCTTTCAGTCTATGTTACGTCTCTTTATGACCTTTTGGAAATTGTTTAAAATGTTGTTGCGCAATGCAATACTTTGCATTACTTCGCTCTCAATAGCACTCGGGATAGATTTTGTTGGCCAGGCACAGTGGCCTCAGTTTCACGAACTGAGATTTTCTTCGCCTGGAGAAATATTCAGTGGCACTTAAAGAAACGTTTGGAGCGCAAGAGTTAACAGTACTTATAACAACCTTTGTTGTATTCCCTTAAAACTATCTCTTTTAGGTTTAAAGAAAACAATACGTTCTAAAAAGGATTTTGACTCTGCATGTAACTGGATGTTTTGAATGTATAGCATACGGGATAATGAACGTGTCACTAAGTCGTTTTATATAATAAGCTCAGTTCTGCACGCATTCTGGTTGGTTCTTACTTATGTTCTATTGGAGAACAGACGTATAGATGACGTCATCATTAAATCTTTTTTTTTTTTCTGATGTTCTGACCACATTTTGACGTCCTCTGTGATCTATTACTGAACAGACGCACGGCAACTTGGAATCTATTTGTTAAGTATAATTCAATTGAAAAACAACTTACCGGCAGATTTTACACTTCTCACAGTGGAAAGGGTTCTTGTCAACACCTATAAAATGCTTACACTTTGGGCAGAAATATTCTGACAATTTTACGCCACAGTGTCTGCAGGTTTGACTTTTTTCGTTTATCTGAATTAGATTAGAATATTATCAGTCAGAGGATGTTACGTTAAAAAGTGATTTTTAATTTCAGAATGTTGCAAAGAAGTTGTTTATCCCTCTATCAGTTTAGCCAAACATTGTGTCACAAGCAATACCTAGAGCAATTTATATAGAGGCATGATTTAAACAGTTGCCTCTTGGAGCCAAGTTCTCTTGTTTCAACTAAGTGACGATAATAACCCAGCATATGACATTGATTTCCCGTCATAGAACTGTAGGATCAATCTAAAAGCCTCGCGCCAACTTCTCACCCAATCAGATGCCAAACCAAAACCAGTGGAGACCTGGCCAAAATTATTTTCCCGCGCTGATTGGCCTTCGTGCTTACAAGAAATTCGTTTTCAACGTCGCTCAAGGCGAAGGCTCTCTATTGCTCTTGGTTTTCTGATTAATCTGAAGTTAGATGTAACTCACTCCCATGGGATCTTAACGTCAGGTATTTTGGGATAAAATCGGGTTTTTTATGACTTTGTTTCTCTAAGCTACTTCATTACGACAAGATTCCAAGAATGCAAAAGATACTAACCTCTTCTTCGCGTCCACAATTTCCGCACTTGACATGCGTCGCATGACGTGCCTTCTTATCATTAGCAGGGCATGTCCCCGATAAATTGTGACAGCGTTCGCACGGATAAAACACTCCGCAACATGGAAACTTGACAGTACAACGTCTCTGGTAGTGCTCACACTGCCAGGGCGGAGTCTCCTGAAGTGGAAGGCTCTCCTCTGCGGTTCTGTCTTCTCTCACTCTTGTTTCCCTTTCTCTTCGCTCTTTCAATTCTCTTTCCATTCCCTCTCTATTTCCTCTCTCTTCTCTTTCTCTCATTTCTCTCTGTTCTCTCTGTGCATACTCTATCATCAACCCGCTTCTTTCTGGAACCGGTGAACGGAGGAGGCTCGAATGTGTGGATGAGCTGCTATTGCTGGTAAAAGGTCGTTGGGTCCGATCATTTGAATCCCTGTTGCTCACTGACATTCTGTCCGATCGCAATGGCACACTCCCTGTGAACTTTGTGTAAGCTGAACGCGTACTGAAATAACGAGCAGAATAAAAAGTGTCAATAACACTCGTGCAAAAAGGTACACGTATCCTCGTCTACTTTCTTTTTATGTTAAATTTTCAATTAACTTTTTTTCCTTACTCAAAATCTTGTGAGGCCATGCATAACTGTGCATAACTTACAAGCCAGCGTTAAAAGAAGGATACTCAAGAATCATTAATCATTTGAAAGTTTTTTAAAAAACTTGAAATGCTAAAATTTTACAGTTGTAGTGTATAGTGTGTGTGTGTGTGTAATCATTAGGTGTAATTCTTTTGCGTTACGCGTTACACCCATGGTTTTGCCATATCACCAGTTTTACCTTCAAATAGACAAGGACAGACTTAGCTTCAAACAACAATTTGGCTTTAATGAAGACGTATGACTAAACAAAACAGGGATAGTTTGCCCACCACCCTAAAATGGGTACGGTGATTGTGCTATTCATCTAATATATTTGAAAATCTTGTTCGTGTTTCTCTGTCTCACGGGAAAAATTACTTCCAAATAATTTTACAAAAATTACGAAGAAAACGAGTAGTGCTGAAATCTAGTAGCACGAAACGAAATAACAGCGACACAAATCATAGAAAGAAATGATTTAGTGGGCTTCAAAATTTGTAGTGTATAGTGAGTGTGTGTTATCAAGCATGCAAGCTGCCTTTTTTAAGGAAAATGTTTTTGAAAGTTTTTACTGTGAAGATTGCGTTACGCGTTACACCCATGGTTTTGCCATACCCCCAATTTTACCTTCAAATAGACAAGGACAGACTTAGCTTCAAGCAACAATTTGGCTTTAATGAAGACGTATGACTAAAAAAAACAGGGATGGTTTGCCCACCACCCTAAAATGGGTACGGTGATTGTGCTACTCATCTAATATATTTGAAAATCTTGTTCGTGTTTCTCTTTGTCTCACGGGAATAATTATTTTCAAATAATTTTACAAAAATTACGAAGAAAACGAGTAATCCTGAAATCTGGTAGCACGAAACGAAATGACAGCGACACAAATCATAGAAAGAAATGATTTAGTGGGCTTCAAAATTTGGTAGATGAATAGGCAGATTTGAGACTAAACTAGACTAATTACCCATGCGTATTCAGATCAATAACTTACCTGGCGTTTCTATAACTATCCTCTGTTTGCGCTTGTTACAGGCGCAAAACTCTTGAAGAAGGTAGTTTCGTTGTCCTTAGAGTGGTCTTTAAGGTGATCCTTAAAAAGTCGAGGATTAAATATCCAATAACAAATGTAACATCGACGCATCGTTGCATAAATTTTCTGAACCACACAGTATTCTTCGTTTTGTTATCGACTAAAGTTCTCACTGGGTGCAGCTTGAGTATGCCCGAGGAGCACTAGTGACGAGTTGATTACCGGAAAGCCGGATGTTGTCTGCTATTCCAATATAGCGGACTATTCCGATAACACCATTTACGATTTACCAACAGTCAAGCGACGTGATTAAACCAGACATGAACATTATAACATGCTTTACATGTGAAGAATACATTGTTAAGTTTAAATCAAGGAAATTTCGCTAAATTTTGGCTGTTTCCTTCACCCTCGACGATCTTAAGTTTCTTGTTAAGCAGAGTTTTAGCTGAACACTGTAGCCGCTAAGACCTACGCCTGCAAAGGTAAACAAAACTTATGAATGGTATCACAACTATAATGCCCTTGTTATAGTGCTACTGGTTAGAAAGATCCCCAAGATGAAATTTCCATCGTCTTGTGCCTCTAGCCTGTAGGATCTCAGGAGGCTTTAAAAAATACTACCTGCTAGAAGTACAGCTTGAATATTTAGTCAACTTTGCCCAATTGTTACTACGCCTTTGTACAGTTTGCTTCACATTTAATTTTTTTCTGCACTCCAAACTAGCCTTACACTCCTTTGAGTCACTTTTTTCAAGAACATATTTCCATTTATTTTTTGTTTGGTCTTTTCCCCCTAGCTTGTAGGGGCGACCCTAAAAGCCGGAACGGCGGAACGGCGGAATGGCGGAATGGCGGAATGGCGGAAAATGACCCCAAATCCTAAAGCACGGAACGGCGGAAAATGACCCCAAATCCTAAAGCACGGAACGGCGGAAAATGACCCCAAATCCTAAAACATGGAACGGCGGAAAATGACCCCAAATCCTAAAACACGGAACGGACTAGATGGTGATTTTGGGCCGAAGAGGTTGCGTTTCGGAACAAAGGAAAAAGAAGATGGACAAATTAAACGGTCCTTACATTCAAAGCTCAACATTGTGCTTTCAGTATGGCAACCAGATGACAAACTGAATCGACTATTTTATTTCATGGATCTCTTGGGAAGACGAGTATTAAGCTATTTTCTTTGCTACAGTCACTAGAAAGAACGTGAAATAAACATCATATACATTTACCTCGGTAACAATTTGCTGCCTTTCCTTTACGCTCAGCTTTTGTGTTGTTGCTTCAAGACCACTCAGTAATCTAAACGAAATTAAATTAGGAATGTTAGAAGTATGCTAGCAATATTGAGAAAGTAGATCTATACACCAACATAGAGTATTCTTAATTGACCAAAATACCCATCTACATCAGGATATGGAAATGAAACGACTCGAGCTGAAAAATAAATTCAGCTGTAAGACTATAACGAAATCGGCCTTCGTTTTATAGAAATGGTCGTGCAGCGTGTCCTCATAGATCGTTGATAGCGGTAGTAAGAAACAATAGTCTTACTAGACAAAAAAAAAATTGGGAAAAGCTTCTTTGTGGTTGTTTCATGAAGGACTTTCGATCAAAGTATATCTGTTTCAGTTTGACATCTTCCAAAGCTTACGCTGAAAATTTTTAGCGATATATTTCACAAAAGAAGTACTTGGATGCCTTATTCCAGAAAAACTATATTAAAGAGCGAGCGAAGTGCAAGTATAAATGAATTGAACGCCGATTACTCAAAATCACACACTGCCTTTCGATTGTGCCTTCGTAAATGGTTGATCGCATGTATATCAGCCTTACACTACCTATGCATTTACCTCGTGACAATTTCATACACAGAATCCTTAATTCGAGCGAATGAACCTTCAAGTTACTGTGATAAGGCGTGCGGAATGAGTTCTTCGCCGAAATCTTGTTCTGCAGGGTCTGAAAAGAAATAGTTATGAAATAAATTGCCAGTTCCTCTTTGGAGATATTTTCCCCGCCCCCACCGAAGCTTGAGTTGGCGACACACCTGGCGATTTTATACGCCGATCGCGGCGAATTTGATCGTCACAGATCGCTGTGGACACACTTAGCGATTTTTTTCGCCGATCGAAATTACTGTAGTCGCTCGACGTTAAATAAGCATGGCTTTTCCAACCACAGTTGATCAAATTTAATTCTTTTTCATCGGTTTAGAAGCAAGTTTCGACGCCTTCCGCCATTATGAAAAGTCATGTAATAATATCACCCAACTTGATTGGTCAATTTTACTGGCGACTCGCTGTGGAAAGGGAAAAAAATCGCGGGAACGGGCAGACTTGGCGAGTGCCGGCGAATTTAATCGCCAATATATGGTATGTCATATTCCCCACGAAAAAAGTGTAGAGAGAAACACTCGACTATGTCCCATATTTCTCCCTACACTTTTTTCGTGCTCTAGCCGCTTCCTGCGTGGTTTACAACAGAACATAGCACAGTCAAGGCTTCTATATTTGTTAAGTAGAGCCCAGGTGGTGTCTGGAGGAAATTGGCTGAACCCCCATCATATGACTGTGAAGATCAATTCGTCACTTGCTTAAATACAGTCATCATTCTAAGTTGACATTATGAAGGCCATGAAACCTCGGAAAAACAACGACGTCACTTTGACGAGACCTGCTTTCGGAGGAAGATGAGTCTTATTGGAATAGTGGCGTGAATACTCTTAGGTCAGAGAATTGTTACAAGATAGTGCAGCTTGCATTTAAAAGCCCATTTGCCTCCAAACTTTAAAAATCGGTCTAATACCATTAAAGTTCACAACGCTTCGCTTTAAGCTTTGCTGAACAGATTATTCATGTCGAATGTACTGATTATTGTTATCATTCCGTAGGTTGGAATAGATCCATGAATAGAGGGCTCCGTCAGAGCTCTGACGAGGGCCTAAAGCTCACCTGAAACATCAGCTTTAAAAAATCTTTAAAGTGACGATTCACATAACCAACTCAGTCGACAAAACCAAATGAAAATGACCTCAGATCTGATAATGTCGGAGTTTTAGTTAAGATTGCGTTAACAAGAAGTAAGTCAACGCTTGTGATTGTATCACTGCATGTGGATAAAGTCAAACCCTGACAGGCCTAATGTCAATTTTACTCAAAAAAGAGAGGTTGATAAATTAGTTAATGGACATCCACAGCATGATATTAAACATTATTACGAGCAAAGATATTTTTTTCCGGTATTGACTTAATATCCGCGGAAGTTATCCTCCTAAGGGAAAATTAGTTTGGGTACACTTGATTTTTATTTGGCTCTCTTGATCCTTTGGCCTTGCCTATAATTCCGTCTTTTAGGCTTTGAGGTAATTTTCCGCCATGCCGTCTTTTAGGAGTTGCTGCTAGCAAATAACTGGAAAAAATGGGGTCAAATCCAAGGGAAATTGGGTCTTGTTCGAGTAAGCGGGGGTTTCGAGTTCGCCGGGTTCGAGTTAGCGGGGTTCTAGTGACAGCTAGGATCTTTTCTCACCATGCAAATTAGAAGAATTAGTGAAATAGCCTTTTTTTGTCCAGAAAGTTTATTTCTTCCGCTGATATGTAAGCCGTAAATTTCTCAATAGGATGGTGGTGTTTTGGACACCTGGTCGCGAAGAAATTCTTCAAATTCTTCTTGACGGGTTCCTTCTGCTAACTTTCTTTGCCTTTTCACGCCATGAGAAATTCCCACGCGCGTGACACCCTGCAAACCTCTCTTCAACTAGTGTTACTCAAG